CTCCGGAAGCCCAGTGGCCGCGAGGACGGGGAGCCAGGCGGCCGCTGGGGTGCGCTGTGTTGAACCGGCGGCCGGGGCTCGCGCAAAGGTAACAGTGGGTGTGTTCGCTGTGTCCCACTCCAGGAAGCGAAAGGTCACAAGGTGGGGCACGCATCCCCTATCCAGAGGAGGGAGGGAGGGAAAGTTTCCCCCGAAAGTGAAAGGGACGGTACCCCCTTGGGCGCTTTGCCTCAACCTGGAAGTACAACGAGGGCGCCACCCCGCTCTTCCCCAGATAGACCCCAGGTCCGGGAGGACAGAGACCCACTTCCCTTGAGCTCGGCCGGTGTGGTGGCTGCAGGCGTTCCAGGCATCGCTCCCAGAGGTCGGGGAGTTGAACTCTGTGCCACCAAGACAGATTTGCAAGTGTAGATGTGCAACTTCCAACACATCCACACCTGTGCTTATTGTGAAAGATAGCAACAGTGATGGCAGTTAAGTGCTGTTTGTTTTTGTTTTGTTTTGTTTTTGTTTTTGTATAAAACATCTTTTCAGAAGTGAAAAAAGAAAAAGTAAAGCGATCGTGGCTGTGTTTGCGGATGATGTTAGAAATAAGTTAATTTGAGAAGAGCAGCACTATCCGGATATAGTGGAGAGCAATTTTAAATTAATTCGTCATTTTTATTTAAATGGAATGAACATGCCCCAAAATATCCATTAAAGAGGGCTAGGACTTTCTACCCTGTATTGTTTATCCCTACCATACTGAGAGAGAAAAAGAGAGAATTGGTTTCTTTTCCTTTGTCCTCATCCCAGTCTTCCTGTCACGAATTTGCAGTTTTAATATGGCATTCTGCAATGACCTATTTCTTTAGAAAGAATTAATCCGGAGTTGTATGTTGCACCACGTGTGAATGACACCATTAGAAGTGATATACCAGAAGTAATTTAGCTGACATACTTTTAACAAACTCCCCTTAAAATACACTTGGCAGGAACGTAAGACATTACTCAGTACACAGAAACACATAATTAAATTGATGATACGGGAACGTTCCAATCACTTATTTTCCTGAACTGAATAATTGTCCTTTTGTAACTTTGGTTTCTCTAAAACTTTAAAGGTGTGTATGCAGGTGGTCACAACCAATATAAACCAAGTGGAAAAGGAGAGTGTGAAATAAGGCATCAGTAATGTTTAAGTGAGATGTAATTGCTAACTTACTACTATAATAATGAGCACAATGCTCAGGAAATAGAGACTTTCTCTTTATTGCTATTTGTTTTCCTATTTTCTTAATGGGAGATCAATTCATTTAAAGCTGGACTTAGACTACAGATAAGGTGGATATTTGGGTTGAGTTGTTTGCTTTGGTTGGCTGCCATGGTTAAATAAACAGGTGAGATGATTTAAATGTTTGTGCCCCCTCTATATAGTTCATATATAGTCGAAACTTGATCCCCCAGACATCAAATCATTTAGCACCTTGATCTTGGACTTCTCAGCCTCCAAATCTGTAAGAAATAAAATTACATTGTTTATAAACTACTCAGCATATGGCATTTTATAACAGCAGCACAATGGACAAAGATAACGGGCAATGGTCAAATGTCTATTGTCGCTTCTCATAGTGAAATGAACATGATATAGGGCACCAAATAATCCAAATAAACAAAATAATCCAAACAAGGGAAATACTATTATATAATATTATATTAGAACTCCCAACTTGCTAGATATCTGAAATGCCGAGTTTGTGTTCTCTAAAATCAAATAATGAACTCTGAACAATGGAGGTTAAGAGTAGGAAGAATTATTTTTACTGTTAAAGCATATTTGTACATTTAAAACAAAAGTACAGTTACATTTATCATTGGGATCTTATACCTTTACATGGCATACTTTTGTTCTTATTTTTTTCTGCATACCCCTGCCCTCCCTTCACCCCCTTCACCCTTCCCTATTTACAAAGACTTTCTTTCCATTATTTTCCTTTTTTCACATTTTTTCTTTTCCCTTATTTTCTTTCTCCTCCCTTTCCCACTTCCCATTTTCTTGTGATTGCAAGGTAGGTGCAGTGCCACTGAGCTAAATCCTAGGCCCCAAAACAGTCGGAAGAATTTATTGAAAGAAAGATAGCTTCTGTGTAAGAGAAACAGAAGAGGGACTGGAAAGTGAGTTGCCCACCTGCCTTGCTTCTCAGAGGTTTTTTAGTGAGCCAAGCCTCCAGACGAGGTGGGTAGAAGATGGGACAAAACTACAGTCTAATAAGATTACAATTATCATCCCTTGGGTAATATTGATCCAATGGGAAATTGTGAGGTGGGAGAAAACTATGAGCAACAAACAAGATTATAGCAAGTATCGTCACTTAGGTAATATTTACTAAATGAGAATCAAATGGGGAAACTAGTCACATAGCAAGCTTAATGGAAAGAACCAGTCTTCCCCTGGAAGGAATGGGCTAAGGAGGTTTTGTTCCCTGCCCAAGAAAAATTGATACCTATTTAACCAATCACTGCTTTTCATCTCTATGGGAAGTATGTAAGTGTAGTCCTTTGTCCTTTTTTATAATGCTGACCTTCAGTGAATGAATCTTAACTGTCTTTTATATTGGCTCCCTCTAGTTGCCTACAAGATATTAATTAACTTAGTTGTGTACAATAATTAGAAATCAAGGTTTCTGAAAAATTGCCACAATGAAACCAACACACATATTCTCCATTCTGTGAATCCAGTTTTGAATGTTGTAAGTGGTAGGCTGGGATTACTGTGAAGGCCTTTTCCAGGAAAAACATTGCAAGAGGCTGAGGGACAGGAGTGTTTCAAACTGTTCTAGGTTCTAGACGCTGAGATACATTTTGTGGCAAATGTGTTTTAAAACTTGGAAGTATGTATTTAGAGGTAAACATATTTTGAATTGGCCTTATGTTGGCCTTTTGTTTACCAGTTCTAATTTATTGTTTTTTCCAGTGTGCTCCATTGCTTTTTTTTCTCAATTACTTTGTTTTAACTTGTTGGAGTGTATTGCTCTAAGCATTTCAAACCTTAGTTTGTAATGAGTTAAAGAATAAGTAAAAAATAAACATTGCCAGTAAGTAACTTGAGAACATGCTGTTACTGATATTTTAACAAACAAATGTTAAATTAGGTAACAGTAGGGACCAGGGATTTAGCTCAGTGGAGCTGCCTGCCTCACAAACACAAGCTCTTGCTTTCAATCCCTAGTACAAAATAAGTAAATAAACAAATACTAGGCAACAGTACATTGAAGGCAGTGTATTTCCATTGTATTGGAATAACATCCAAACTCTCTAATATGGAGTGTTAGTCAACCTGCCGTGATGGTAACAAATACCTGAGATAATCAGTTTTAAAGGACAGAGGACTTGTTTTGACTTTAAGTTTTGGAAGTTGCAGTTCATGACTGACGGGCTACATTGCTTTGTGCCTGTGGCAGCACAACACATTATGGCAGGAACACACAGTGAAGGGCATCCCTTTGCCTCATGGCCATGTGCAAAAAAGAGAGAGGAAGAGATGAGCACCCCATAGCCCTTCAGGGGACAGTTGAGAACCAAATTATTTGACATGGCTTATCAAGTTGTGCATTATTTGGCTTTTACCTACCTCTGTTGAAAGCTTTAGTCATACAGCTAGAAAAACACACAAAATGAGAGATGATCACATTCTTTTTCCTAAAAAGAGAATACAAATTACAAGTCATAACACCTTACCTGTTTTTCCCCCAGTGCTACACACTATCTTCTGTTCCAAACATTTAATACATGAAATGAAATAAAAGTACACAGAGCAACTTGATTCCAATAAATTCAATAATTTAGATGAAATGGATGAATTAATTGGGAGAGGGGGGACTAAACCAGTCTGACACAAGGTGAAAGTCAGAATTCCATTGAAATAAAATTCAATAACATATTGATTTTATTCCATAAAAACCTTTCTACAAGGAAACCTTCAGGCTACTGGTAAATTTGATCAAACATTTAAGGGAAAAGTAATAAAATACCAACATTGTACCAACCCTTTCATTAAGCCAGAAAAGCTGTAATCAAATATGACACAGATATTAAATGAAACAATATTCCTTATGATATAGGTATAAAAATCTTATTAAACTATTCATAAATTGAAGCCATTATATAAAAATATTTTCAAGGACAATATTCAATGATGAAGTGTGATTTTTTCCAAATATATGTCATTTATATAACATTCAAAGATCATTTAAAGCAATTAAACTTATCAACAAAAATTGACAAAGGGTTATCTCAATTGATGCAGAAAAAATTTTGACAAAATTTAAAACTCATGAGTTTTAGAAAATTCCCTGCCTACACAGATTGGAAGCATAATTTTTAATTTGATAAAGAACATCTATAAAAAACTTCCCCCTGGAACAAGGAAACCCACCCTTACTATTTCTAGTCAGTATTGTCCTAGAGCCTTAAGCATTGCAATATATCCCAAAATAAAAAAGAAACACGAAGCAGAAAAATTGAAAAGGGAAAGGTAAAACATTCAATGTTTGCAGAACATGACTATCTGTCTGTGAAGAATACCCAAGGAATGTACAAAGCAATGTCAGAAATTAAGAGATGAGTGAAAAACATCACAGCATAAATGGCCATATACAAAGCCTATTGTCTATCTGTGTATTGGTGCTATGTGCTGAGCTGTAACCCACTATAACTATGAATTGAAGTTCTAATTCCTGGTCCCTCAAAATGGAAATAAGCCTTTTAAAGAGTTCCTTAAGGTCTGTGAGTAGCCCCTACTCTGATCTGACTAATGTCTTTAAAAGAAGAGGAGATTTGCACACTCTGAGATGCTACAGATGCTCTTGGACAGAGAGACAACTCTATGGAGAGAAAGCAAAAGCATGGTCCCCTTACAACCCAAAGACAGAGGCCTCAGAGGAAAACAACCCTGCTGGCTCTTTGATCTTGAACTTCTAGTCTCCAGAACTGTAGGAAGGTAAATTTCCAATAGTTAAACGATTTGGTCTTTGATAACTTGTTTGGAAACCCTAACACAATAATACAAACAGCAATGGGTAATTAGAAAATAATATTTATAATAGTACAATAATTAAATATTTACAAATACATTTAACAAAATATATGCAAGAAATATACAC